ATTGTAGGAAGGGCATGGACTTTATAGTCAAATACACATAGGTCTACAATGGTTCCACATCAGACTATATGATCTTGACCAAGCTACTTATCATCTTGAGCTATTTTTCCCTTATCTGGAAAGTGAGGAATATAATGCCATGTTTTGGGTTTGTGGTGAGTATAAATGAGATTATGTATATCAAAATGTCTAGCACAATGTTTAGCTAATAGTCAGCCCTCTATACATATTAATTTCTCTTCTTTATAAGATCCAGATCCATGTCGCATCCATTTTTATGCTTCCATAGTATGTACTGGGGGTCACTCATAAATATTTGCTTAATGAACGACTATCCAATAAGTCAGCTCCAAATTAACATTGTCTCTATACTTGTGTGGCTTATAACCTACAAAAAGAAGATAAAGCAAGTACATACTAAGTTGATATGTACTGCAGAAAAGAAAGCTGAGTGCACTAATTTTAGTTTGTTCCAAATTTTGTAATGTGTAGGGTATTGTTTCTGTGGGGTATACCTGCCCACAGGGATAGAGGGAGATGTATCAGGAGGCACAAGGAGATATTAGATCAACATGGTCTGTCTTCCAGAAGCTTCATGTTTGTTCACAAATCTAAGGTGCCACTTAGGTAATTTAATCTACAGGTAAATTTCAATAGTATTTTATATTGTAGCAAACAGAATACTGTAAAAAAGAGCAAATTTAATATGAATATTTAAAATTAAATAGAAACTTTATTCAAAATTGAACACTGGTCCCAGGCACTTTTAGCTGATGATTCCCTGTGACATCAGTTGCATAAAGGTGTAGCATAAAGATGTACTTCTCTGCTCTCTTTCCTTAAAGGACTTTCAGCAGACACAAGAGAGAGGCATTATGATGATGTATATCTAGATATGCATTCATTCCTGGAATCTCTTACCACATAGAAAACATTATACATGTCATATATGTTGTGAGAACTTAATTATGAGAAAGATTTAAACAGTTGGGATATTTGGGGGTTGTACTTGTAGGCTATAAAATAGTTGTGATTAATCTAGAAAGGGTTCTTGGAAGAGTTAAGTTGTGATCCAAAGAGGGATATGGTACCAAATAACCAAGAAGAGATCACA